GGCGGGCCTGCCCCGGGGGCAGCGCGTCGGGGGGCGGCGAGGAGCGGGGCCGGCAGCGGGAGGGGAGCGGGCTCGGCCCCGCGGAGCCTGGCCCGGCGGGGGACGCAGCAGATGGGGCCCCGGCGGCCATCCCCGGGGAACGGCACAGAGTCAGGGATCCCCCCGGCATCCCGAAACCGTGCCCACCCACACCAACAGCATCCCCCGGCACAGCCCCAGCGGGGGTCACAGAATCGCCTGGGTTGGGAGAGAGCTTTAAGATCATCTAGTCCAACCATTAAAAAAAAACCCCAACAATAAAATAAAAACAACAAAAAAACCCCAAACAAAACACACACCCCAACACTAAACCATATTCCCGAGCACCATGTCAATTCATCTTTTGAATATCTCCAGGGATGGTGCCTCAACCACCTCCCTGGGCAGCCCATTCCAGTGGCTGATAACCCTTTCCATGAAGAAATTTTTCCTAATGTCCAACCCGAACCTCCCCTGGCACAACTTGAGGCAATTTCCTAGTCCTGTCCATTCCTCCTAGTCCTGTCGCCTGTGACTTGGGAGAAGCAACAATAAAATAAAAACAACAAAAAAACCCCAAACAAAACACACACCCCAACACTAAACCATATTCCCGAGCACCATGTCAATTCATCTTTTGAATATCTCCAGGGATGGTGCCTCAACCACCTCCCTGGGCAGCCCATTCCAGTGGCTGATAACCCTTTCCATGAAGAAATTTTTCCTAATGTCCAACCCGAACCTCCCCTGGCACAACTTGAGGCAATTTCCTAGTCCTGTCCATTCCTCCTAGTCCTGTCGCCTGTGACTTGGGAGAAGAGACCGACCCCCATCTCTCTCCAACCTCCTTTCAGGTAGTTGTAGAGAGCAATAAGGTCTCCCCTCAGCCTCCTCTTCCCCAGACTGAACAACCCCAGCTCCCTCAGCCTCTCCTCATAAGACTTACTCCCCAGACCCCTCACCAGCTCCATTGCCCTTCTCTGGACCCGCTCCAGCACCTCAATGGCTTTTTTGTGGTAAGGGGCCCAAAACTGGACACAGCATTCGAGGTTGGGCTTCACCAGTGCCCAGTACAGGGGAATGATCACCTCTTGGGTCCTACTCACCCCACTGCTCTTGATACTGGCCAGGATGCTGTTGGCCTTGGCCACCTGGGCACACTGCTGGCTCATGTTCAGCTAACTGTCGACCAACACCCCCAGGTCCTTTTCTGCCAGGCGGCTCCAGCCACTCTGCCCCCAGCCTGGAGCGCTGCAGGGGGTTGGTGTGACCGAAGTGCAGGACCCGACACTTGGCCTTGTTGAACCTCATCCCGTTGGTCTGAGCCCATTGATCCAGCCTGTCCAGGTCCCTCTGCAAGCTTTTCTACCCTCCAGCAGGTTGACACTCCCATCCAACTTGGTGTCATCTGCAACTTACTGAGAGTGCACTCCATCCCCTCGTGCAGATTGTTGATAAAGATGTTAAAGAGACCCGGCCCCTCGGTGCCCTTCTCCATCCTCACACCCACCGGGGTGCTCAGCAGCATCCCACCCGCCAACAGCCCCATGGCCAACCAAGGGCCCCAAAGCCAGGAGCTCCCTCCTGGCACCACCTCTCTCCGTCGCGGTGCCCCAGGGCAGCACTTGGGCCAAGCTGCTGCTGGAGCACGTTTTCCATGTGCTCTGTCTGCACATGGGTGACAGCACGTGGTGCTCGGTGCCCGGCCGAGGGGAGCAGGCTGGATCCTGCAGTGGGGTGGTGCATCAGGCATTTCAAGCTTTGGCTTCTACTTTCTGCCCTCGGCCAACTCAAGGTGCCCAACAGCAAACAGCCTGTGCCACAGGGATCCCATCTGGGAGCCTGGGATTACAAAGGATGGGGAAGAACCAGCGAGAACTCTAGAACAGGTAGGACAGGTAATTACAGACCCAGAGCCCAGCGCTGGCTCCGCACCAAGGGACAAAACTGAGTTTGGGAATCCGTCATGGGAACTTTGTCTCAGGAGAAACCCAACACAAGCACAGGCCCCCTCCTTTCTCCCTCCAGCCGGGAGCTGCACACACAACCCAGAAACTCAGCTGTGAACATTTTTGAGGGGTGGCACAGGCAAAAAAACTGCCATTGCTGGCTCAGCCCACTCGAGTCCTTACAAGGGGCAGTATCAACCCACCGGGACGGGGAGGTGACGTTCCCAAAGCAGCCTAAAAACCTGGCACACAAATATCTTTGCAGCACGCCTCGGGTTTTAACAAGCTCCTACTTAACCGGCCCGATTTCGGCAGGGCTGTGGGCGAGGAGAAATCTGGCTGCAGCGGCAGGAAGGCTCCCGGGAGTGCAGGAACCCCCCCATCCATCACCCCCCTCCCACGGCAGACCATGCCCTGCTTGTGGGTGCCCTGCGGGACCCTCCCATGAGAAAAATGCCCTTCCTTCCCCTCGCTCACGAGCTCCAGTGCTTCTCTGCAGAGGGAGGTGGCTGTGGTTAGAAAACTCCCACCTCTCACTGCTGCTGCAGAGAAAAACCGGCCGAGCCAGAAATGAGGCAGCACGGCCGGGTCCAGGCAGGTTGGTGAACACCAAGCAATGCCCACACGTTTTAGACAGGGTGAGGAAGAGCCCCTGTAATGGGACACAGCCTCTGCAATCACAAGGGGACTTTGCTGGCAGACCTTTAGCACAAAAGTATAGGTCTCTCCCCATAAAGACATTTGTAAAGGGTCTTCTGCAAAGTTTTTTCTTTTTTTCCCCAGGGGCATTGGGAGCTTCAGGGAAACAAGTCACAGCCCATCAATGTAGCACCAAGTGTTTAGGAGACCAAGGCAAAACCAGGAACACAGGCCTGGCTATTTTTGCAGAGGACATCTGAAGGGAGAACGAGATCTGTTACAGTCACACCCCTGCAGAGAAAGCCTCTTCTTCTCTCCACCAAATCCTTGAAATCATGACCCCTTGCAGACACCACGTCGATACACAGCGTATATTAAGCCGCCTGAACTGAGCTGCCATACGGTAACGCCTGCTGCCACCACCACACACAAAAGGGGAAACATGCAGCAAAGTGGAGCTGTGAGAGAAGAGCACGGCAAAAATAAAACCAAATATCAAGTCTGTCAACTGTGAGCAGAGCTCTGCAGAACGAACCACCACCAGAGGCTGGCAGACAGCATTTCTCTACACCATGGTCCATGGTGGACTTCGTAGGAACAGAGAGAAAAGCTGGCACAGAAGTACCAGAGTGACACCCCCGGGCAGTTTATCAGTGCAGAAACCCCTCCCAACTCACCTGCACGAGGGGAGATGACACGTGCATGGGTGCATTTCTTGGAGTCCACATAAAAGATTGTTCTTCTCTTAGCATCTTCAACAAAGTTCTCCACTGCCATGGACTACAGCCCTGTTGTGGACAACCAGGGCAGGAACAGCCAGAAACCTTTCAATCCGCAGTCCCACCCCATTAAACGGGCCATGAGTGAGCTGCAGTTTGGGGGAAGGAAAAAAGGAAATAAAGCAACTGCAATTCTTTTTTTTTTTTATTAGCAATTGGGCAGTATCTGGACATCTAAAGGAAATCAGCCCTTTCCAACATTAACTCAAATGTCGTTGTCAATTACTTGCACCACTCCCACACTTCAGTCTTTGTCTTTCATATAATCAGAACCTTTGGGTAAACAAAGAGCACAGAAACACAAAAAAAATACAGTATATACAGGTTTCTCACCAACTAAATGAACTTAGATTTTTGGAGATTAGCGACACTTTGTTCATTTGACTTCACAAGTAATATCAAAACATCTCAAGTTTTAAAATAAAAAAATACTACAATATTCACAATATAAAACTTAAATACATTTGTTTAAAAATTAAAGGACTGCTAATAGCTATTGATTTATCACAGCTGTCTCTTTCAACAGAAGCTCTGCTGATGAAGCACTGAGAATTTAAGGTTCACAAAGCGACATTCACATTCTGCACCGCTCCTGGTCAGAGTTCAAACGCTCATCAGACAGCGCCGCTGGAGGCTCCTCCAGGAGTTCAACTCAAATCCATCCCGCTGTCGGGGTACAGGAAGGTCACAGACCAGGGCAAACCCCCACACACGGCGGGGCTGCCCGCTCCCCCCCGAGCAGGAAGGCAGGTCCCCACACCACCATCACACGCACGTCTGATCTGTTGTCTGCCTGCCCGGCTCCAGCTCTTCAGTTCACGGCTGGGCGAGCGGGGTGGAAACGACCGAGAGGTCCGTGACACTTCCTCTCCTCTGCCAGTCCGTCCCCGCTAACCAGCTCCTGTGCTCTATTAAACAGTCATTGAATAAAGTGGCTGGAGAGAAAACGCTCCTCCCTGGTGTAACTCTGCAGAGTGCAACAGAACCGCACCAGCAGGGCCTCTGCCCCACCGTGCTGAGTGTGCAAGCTTTACACAAACAGGGCGGACAAGGGAGCAAGAACCTACAAAGGAGAAAATTCAATCCACCCTTACGCAATCTCATCCACGATAAAAGAGATCATTAAGTGTGCTTGAAAGGCAAGAGAATCTGATTTTGCCTGGGAGATCTGGATTCTGCGATGGAATCCAGGTTTGGTTATTTCATTTTCACTTCACCGTTCAAAGGAAGCAGAAACTAGGACAAACAACAGCTACAGTATTTATCTCTTTGGTAACTTCTGTAAAAGTGTCTCTAAGCAATGGGTGCATCTTACAGTAATGATCATAAAAGCCCAATAAGATCCTGTAGAAGTTTCATAGACTGAAAAAAACTGGGGCATGAACTGGGAAAACAGCTTGCCCAAAATTAAACAGGGCCTGTGGGAGGGCAAGAAAGACGGCACAGGAACTGGATCCCTCAGATTCCTGCTCTGGCCACACAAGGGTGCCTCAGAGAAAGCGGATCCCAGACACACACGCTGAACCGATAACCTCTTATTACAGACAGAAGGTCAGGAGTGCATTTTAGGGTATTTCTTTAAGGCAAAAATGGGTGAATAGTAGCTGCGGAGACAGGCTGGCCTGGCAGATAATCCGAAAGCGGATCTGTAGTGCACCTTCACAGTCCAATGGCTCTGTGGGTCAGTTTAAAGAGGATGTGGATCTCACCACTTCTGGTCTCACACTACTTTTAAATCCAGCTCAGGTAAACCGCAGCCCTTCTATGACAGAAAACTACCTGTTGTGTAAAATGCCTTTGCTTTTGTTCAACTCCTTATAAATAAAGCTTCACATTCAAAGTTAGTTTCCATAACCAGCTCTCCCCTCATATTGCAAAAAGACTCAGCTGATAGAGCAGGGGCTGGAGGCAGCAGAGAATCCAACCACTCCTTCCAGCTGAAGACACCGTTTCCCCAGAACAGGCTGCAGACAGTCTTGAGGCAGAACAGCAAGACTTGCATCGCCACGCTTCGTATTTCACCTGTTCTTTGCCTTAGTACCAGCGTAACCCGGTGACCCAGCCACCATGCAGAGCAGCAAAACAATGAACAGAAGTCCTGTGTATCTCTGAAATTGCCAACAACAAGATAAAACAAGAGCACTGAACAAGAGGTTTGTCCAAAGCCATGAAGCACTGTTTCAGGATTGAAATCTGAAGCACCTGCCTCAAAACCTAACTGTGCAGAGGCAGAGAACCACACTTCAGAAAGTATCCACTACCGAGTCACCCCCATACAGCTGCCACTAAAGCAGCCTGGAAGGAGCATATTAGAAACGTGCATCTGCCTTAACTTTCTGGCACGAGAAGCAACTAGCTGCACACAGCCTCCCCAGATGAAAGCCTGTTGATAGTTGCTAACTGAAGGCTGTGGTAATCTCACAGTCCAGCACAAAAGCAACCAAAGCCTGTGAAGGAATAGGAGAACAAGCTTTCTTCCAAACCAAATAATTGTCAGGTGACAGATCCAATACCAGTAAGTAAAAAGGCAGGAATTAATGAATCTGTAAGAAACAACCTGAAAACAACCACTCCTGCCTTGGTTTTGCGTAGTGCGGGCTACAGGCTGGTTTATGTAACTCTTCTGTCATTATACTGCCTGCTGCTCTGTAAAGGGTTAAACCCTGATCTTACTCGGTGGCTGCATCCTTTCAGCTGAGATAAATGGACTCCCAGGCAAAAGGACCACTGGGAAATACATATGCCATGCTGAGACAACAACATGCCTCCAACTAAGAGGACGGCTTGAGGTCAGCTTTCACTTCCCTCAGCCTTCTGCTTCTCTTGCTTTCTCGTCACCGCTGCTAAAATTAGTTCAAGGGCACTTGAGACTTCTAGTAGAAAAGATTTTTCTCCTTGTGTCAAAACCCAAAAGGTTTGATATTTACTATGACCACACAAAAGTGGAATCTGAATGTGAACTGGAAGTTCGTATTATCCAAGTACCGTTATTGGAGAGCTGAGAAAATAAAACAGTCCAGATTTCCTGCTTAAGGGCACATCTCCATTTTGCCAGCAGCTGCAACAAAGAACATATAGTTTATCATGCTTGAAAGCTGCACAAATACCCATCAGGGAAGAAAGATTACTCTCCTCTAAAATATATTTTTTGGTTGGAGAAAGAGATTTTAAAACAGTTTTCTGTCTCCATCGAGAACCACTACTCCCTGTTTCACCTTTAGGAACAAGGAGGTGAGCTGAAGTTTGACCTGGAGAACAAATATTAACGCGTTAAAGTCTGACCTAACATAGGAATTCTCTTGAAAACCTCATCCCTACTCACCTCTAGAATGACAGAGATATCATTAATTCAGGATTGTTTTCCTGAAGAAAAAGCTGCCCCTAAATGTCATTTCAAGTCATCATCTTCATCCCCACCTGAGGGGTCCGGGGACAAGGAAAGACAACAAAACCATCCTGATAATAATACTCAGCCCTTTGGGCTTGTCTTCTTCTGAGTGCTTTGCAAAGAAAAAGCCTCATCACATTCCTGTGAGGTAGGTCAGTAAGTATTACTATATTCCCTTAATACAGATATGGAAACTGAGGCAGAGAAGTTACTTTCCTGAGGGCCACTGCAGGAGTCTGTCTCGGAGATGGAACCGGGAGACAAGATCCCTTAGCTCTCAGAGAATTTCCCTTTCTCTCCCGAATCTCCCCGCTTCCCCACACAAGTCTTAATGGAGAAATGAGCAACGGAGAAAGGGGCTACAGTGCCACATTTCTGACAAATAGCAGGACTCCTAGTACTACTCCACGTACTCCAAAAAGGAACGTTAAATATACAAGTACCTTAGAATTAATGGCAAAAAATGACTGCACACATTATAAAGAAGCCAACATACAATACAAACCTAGCTTAATAAATAAGAGTAAAGACATGCAGCTGCACTTGTGACTGAGTGCTGAGAGGTCCTCAGCTCAGTAAAAGTCCCAGATGCCAATGGGTAAGCCCATGTCATTCCTGTGACTCTACTGCCACGCCGACGAGTGCGTGTCTGATAGTGCGACCATGGAGTTTGTAGCCATCCTGCGTCACCAGCGCTATCGTGCCCGGCTGCATTCCCTCAGCTGGTACATGGCACACTATTTCATGGTCATATGGATCATATTTGCCACCAACAGGGTTCATCTTCTGAAGGCCGTGTTTGGCAAACACACTTTGCAATTTGGCCTCTATGAGAGAGAGGCCTTCATAGATTTTCTTCAGGGTTGGATTTGGATTACTAGGCTCTGCTTCTTCTGCGGCACTCTCAGCTGTCTTCTCCAAGATATCTGCTACCTCTACAAGGTCCCTGCAGAAACTCTGGATCCCTGCAGGCACAAAGAAGCAAGAAGTAAATGAAGGGCAGTTTATAGAACTACAGTACCAATGATGGGCACAAAGTCACAGCAGTTTGAGAGCACATATAAAGCTGCTAATTGATTTGAACCATTACTTTAGTGAGAGCAGACAGTGTCTTCTGTATCCTGTAGCAAAAGCTTTTCCATTACACGGGTAGTAATCTAAAGACTCCCCAAATCAAGGTATATGCAGAAAAGGTACATCTATACACATCAACCTACATATATATAGTATACCTGACAAAGCAGAGCATTAGCATTTCACTCCAAAAAGTTCTTGCAACTAAGACATGCCAATTAGGACACTGTTCCATTCCCTCATACAGTCCCACAGGCATAAATGTTTTGCCAAGCAACTCACACAAATGCCCGTGCACATGGGGAACAAACCCCGTGGGGGGGAGAGTAAAAATAATACATGACTGCTGAAAAGTACACCCACAATTTTATTCATAAGTTAAAACTAATGTGAAAGGACTGGAGAAAAATGGTCCTTGGGTCAGTCATGACAAAGTCATGTAGTCTTTTTTCATTAGAAAAACGAGTTTAGATCACATACATTTCCAGAAGTGGTGTATTACACTGTGCAGAACTTTCAGAAATATCATGCTCCCCCAGTCATCCAGATGCTGTAACTTACTGGAAAGGCACATTAGGAAAACAGAGAAAGAGAAACAATCCTTTGGCGCTGTCTATACCTGTACACACATGTTTAAACGCCCACAGAACAAAGAAGTGTGAAGGAGAAGCAACAAAGGAGCAGACAGAAGCAGACTGATCACCATTTCCTCTTGCACCAGAGTCTGTTTTAATGCTCTACAGATGCCTGTGCCTCACTCTATGAGCAACTTCTAATACAGAACCTCATTTTTCTTCAAATCTGAAGCTTAATGCATCTAAAATTCAAAAACCTAGGGGAAAAAAACCCAACAAACCACATCAAAAACAATGGTGCTGATTATCCCAAAACTCAACATCCATTTTGTAGCACATTGGATAGACTGGTAAGAAAAATACAGCAGCTCTAATTTCAAAGCTACTGGAATAAACTAACAAAAAACCTCCTGAGATTCATGAATTATGGAGAATAACAGTTTCTCATTTTCAGAGACGGTGCTGGCAGAGTGCAACAATTAAGCAGCAGTTTCTTCCCCTTTCACCTGCATCTGTTGCCAAAACTACAAATCAACTTCATTGATGCTAAAATAACTACAGCAGTTTTAAAGAACATCCCATATAGGAACTGACAACCGTTGTCCCAGGCAGAATCTGCCTCCTGAAAACCAGAGCAGAAGTGAAGAAGTTGTTAATGTAGTAAGGGAGATCACCGCCTGATGACACAGCTAAGGGTATGAAATACCTTGCCAGAGCCAGTTCTCAAAATACAGAAGAACCTATTAATTCCAACTAAGTCAGCAGAACTACACTCAATTGCACCTGGCTTGTTTTATTAAAAAAATTAAAATAAAAAAAAAATCACAAAACAGCCACTGAGATAAACCTGATAGGACAGCTGGACATACAGGAAAAATAGTGAGCAAACCCAGACACCAACAGTCCAGGCCAAACATCATGCCAGACTTTACAGTGAAGGAGGGCAGGGCAGGGAGAGAGAAAAGCTGTCCATCAGCATGTTATGCTCAGGCAGGCAGGCCTCCGCAGCAAACACAGCTCTGCCTCACTCTGCCTCTTACCAAAGAGCTTGGCATCTTCCACAAACTTCTGCGTTCTCCTCCGGACATTCTCAGAATCTGCCAAAGCTTTCCGGTATCGCTCCTGTAACCACAGCAGCAAGGGGAGATCCATCAAACAAAGAGGTAAAACCCATTTCCTGGCAAGCTGGCAATCCCTTAGAAATTATTTAAAAAGAGCCTGTTTCACGGTAGAAGGTTGTGCCGGGCTCCTGCATTTTCATTACATGTAAATCCAAGTCCCTCTCCTCCTGATCAACCAGCACAACTGGAACTCCCTCAGAAGACCCAGGTGAAGGCCAGAAGCACTGAGGGCACAGCTCAATTGAACGCCGCATTGTCAGGCTGCTGCTTTTTGCGTGACTTGCTCCCGAGACACTTTTTTCTCCAGCAGACCAGCTGGTGGTCTCAGCCACAGATCTGCAACCAGCTGATTTATCACCTGGTGCAGCAGTACTCTCAGGGGGATTATCTCCAGAATTGCCCACCCAGTGCTGTGGTACCTAATCTTCTCCTTAGTCACATCTTTTCTTCAAAGTCCCTATAACATGATCCCTACCATTCCCACCACACCACTATCACTGTCTGAGAAGGAAAGCCCTCTTCAATCTGGATCCGGTGAGACACAATATGTGATACTAATCAGGACAATGCAACTGTCGTTCCCCCATATAGTGCTGTAGAAGAACCAACCAACCCACCTCCAACGTGCCATTTTGCCTGCCAGGATCATACTATCAATGTCCTGAGTACTACTGACAGATGGTGTTTCTGGAGAAGGCAGACTGTAATTTCACAGTGCACCCTATCAGAATTTTAGGACAGCTGCTTTGAAGGCTGCCCCAGCACAGCAGTGTTGTGTGCGCATTATAGGGCTTACGGAAAATGATAGGGGTGAAAAACAGTTCGGTCAAGGGGACCCAACAGAAGCCATCATGATCCACCAGCAGCATACTCACCGTTAAATCCCGGACTTGTTCTTCCAATTTGATGGCTTTGTGCTCTAAGGCACAATCAGAAAGGGGATGCTTGGGCTCATCACGGGGATCTTCTGGGCCACACTCGTCTCCTGTACTTCTCTGCTGAGCTGCAGTGCTGAAGACACACGGGGATTCCCTGAAATACAAACTAGCGACAAAGAAGGAAAGTTAAGTAACAACAGGGTCAAAATGAACTCTAGTTTGTCATTACTAAAAGCAGGCTCTCTTAAAAAAACTAGATAGATAAAGCATTCTAGAAAAAAATTTAGTTCTTTTCAGAAAATATGGACAGAAACACAGAGAGACAGATGTTTTGAAAACATTCTTTTATTTTAGACTCATGTGGCACTACAGAGGCTGTATACCACTTCTTTGACATACCTTGAAAAAGCTCACATTTTCATAGGGAAACAAGTTGTGGGTTGTATTTTTGCCGACCTTCCAGTACAGGTGGACAATACCAGATGGCAAACTTCAGAAACATTTTTGCAAGGTAGTCTTGAAAAGCAGGTAAGTGATATAATGCTACTTTCACAGTTATTTTAAAAAACCAAATGTTCTGAGCAAAATTCAGTAAGATCTGCAAACCTTTGGCACTTAAGATAGGCAGGCAGAGCCCAGCCTGGTACCTAAGACGGTACAGTGACCACACCAGTGGGATGGCTGTGGATTTCTGTTCAACAAGCAAGGAAAGACAAACACATCTCAAACTTCTGGCTAACGGAGGATGCAATTCTCTGAAGCTCTGACCCGTTTGTTCTCCTGGGTGCAAACAGACACGCTACTTGGTGTACTCAGTTTTCCTCCTCCTGAGTGAAAAGGAGGAGAGTTTGAACCTTTTGCCAATCAGTTCTTCTCACAAAGTAGCAATTGTTGCTTTGATATCCACTGCACAAAGAACACAGTTCAGAAACCAAACAGAACTGTCACAGACACGACTAAGGTGTTTGCAGCCCAACTATTCTCCCACCAGGATGTTCACAGCTCCATTAGCTGTGTTTGGAAAAGGGACTGAACATGCCAACTGAAAATTGTCCCTAAAATTCTCCAACAGTTCTAAACACTTCAACTGCTTTTATCTCTACCAGCAATGACTGAGTCCCAAAGGCCAAAACAAGCCCAAGCCTCAAATGCTGAAGCTTCCCTTATTTCCAATTACTTTTTCATCCTAAGTACACTTTTAAACTAAAAAGTGCAGTTGTCAGTGGTTTGTGTTAGTACAGGAGGTAGAGCTCACCCAGGAGGCTGACTCCACAACTTGCAAATGAAATGATGAAACAGCCAAAGAGTCAGATAATTGGACTGAGCTCTATGAACACCGCCTAGGCGCTTAGCAGCTTATTCTATACTGTAATAATCTCACACGTTTCCCAAAAACTAGATAACAGAAATCTGGCTGAAAACAGTTTGGTCAAAAGATGATCAAAACCAGCATGCTAGACACTTTGAAAAATAAGTATTTTTCACTTCATTCTGGTCTTTTCCAGAAAGACTTTCACCTGCAGTATCAATGCTATCACTCCAAGAGTGAAATATGCTACATCACCTGCTTTTACAAACCCACCTAGACAGTAGGCAATACTCCTGCAGCACCAGGCCTCAGCCCACCTCCCTCTCGCGCCTTACACCAGGAACAGAGTCTGCAGAAGAAAGCTCAATTTATTTCCAAACCAGCTCCATTCAGGAAACACTTCAGCATACGCTTAACAAGGAAGGGTGTCTCCTTTTCTAGGAACACCTGGGCTCCTCCTCTGAGCAGGACTTTCAACATCTCCTCTAACAGAGGGGTTTTCCATATACTAAAGTGCACATCTACTGAGTGAAATGCAGCAGAAATGCACAGAAATCACTGTGCTGGCACCGACTCCACCTCCTGCATTTATACAGCACAATTCCACACTGCACAGAGAGGCTAATTCAGGCCCCAGAATCAATACAGCTGAGTTCACGTTACCAGGCCCACACCATTAAGGTTTCTCACTTTTCAGGGAGGCTCTATCACTCGGGTACAATGTCGCAGAAGTGCACGGCTTTTGTTTCTGGGTCTACCAAACCAGTCGTGAGACCTAAGTGCTGCTCAGCAATCCAGCTAGGCTGAGCCTACAGTGGCACCTGGAAGGGAGAGGTTTTCTCCACTTGTTCCATTACTGGAGCTGTGCAGAATGAAGGTTCAGGGAGTTAAACCAGCTGAAAACAAACCCTACAAAACAAAAAGACTTTTCTGTCTGTGCCCCTGAATAGGTTTGCTGACAGATCAGATGAGCACAAGTGCCTGTACAAAAGAGAAGACAAACACGTGAAGCCTGGTGAGATGTGGGAGGGAGACTATGGGGAAGGGGTGTCCCCCTTTGGGTGGCAGCCAGGGCTTAGACTGGCTCAGCCCTGTGGCCAAAGCACAGTTTAAGAGATTCAGATCTGCCCAAAGATCACCAAGCATCTCCTATCACTCCTAGCAGCCCAGATGTTCCCTCATTTGGTCTTTAATATAGGCATGCTAAACATCCCACAACACTAATAACAAACTTCCTTTTCCCACCCGAAGACATTTGCATATGCAATTTTTTTATTAAGTGGGTACTTAAAACATGATCTGTATGAAAATTGCTCCTTTTCAACACATTACATGCCAAATACAAGTCTGAAAGTGCTTCTGCTACATACACGTGTTCTAGAATAGAACTTTTCTCTCACTAATCTTTACAAAACCAGGTGAGGGTCTCTCACTAGGCTCCTTTCAAAGAGCCCACTGCACTTCTGGGCTCCAGGAATGCCAACACAGAAGAAAACCCCACATTTTAACCCTGGCTGAAGAGAGACCTGCATCTTGACCCCCATCTTGAATGTTTTTTAAGAACAACATTCGCATTGTTGACTGATTAACATAGCACTTTTTCCAAGTTATAGAAAGTAGACCAAACAGGAGGTGAGGATCACCAAGCCTTCAAAATCAATCCGTGAAGTTTAAACAACAACTGCAAAGCTCACCTTGTAAATAAAAGGTGTGTCTGTGGTAAGCAGCAACTACAAGCTTTGTCCTTTATCATCTCGGATTTCATTTAAAGAGCTGCAAGGATGGAAATCAGCCATGCCACAGATGAACCAAGGAACCTGAAATGCAGCTGAGAAAGCAGCCTTGGGAGGGACCTCACAGGTTATAGACTCCTAAACAAATGAGTTAACTCTTCTGCATCCAAGAAGCAAAGGGTATCGAGTAATTTCCCCCTGTGAGTGATTTACACTGCAGGGATGGGTGTGTTTCGGGGTGTAGGAGGAGAGGGGCAGGAATGAGCTGGTGCCTCAGCTACGGGGACCTGCCTACGTGAAGCAGAGAGCTGCCTGCATGGACTCCTTTCTCCAGCTTGTGAAACCAAGTCACAGAACACTCCCCCGTGCAGCCAAATGCCCCGGGTATCATGCACTGCTGGGAAAAGCCTGCCTTAAAAGTCTAGGCAAGAAACAAAAACCACAGACTGACTCCAAAGGGAATTCTTAAGAAGGACTATTATGACTATTATGCAGAATTGAAAATGCCGCTCAATTTACTTCTTCCTCCAGGATCAAAGAAACACTCCACTAAAAAGGGCAAGTGCTATTTATAGCCTGTCCACTGCACTGTGCTCCATCTTCAAAACACAGTCACAATCACGGCTGCCCCCAAAATAGGCAGAAATCCCACTGGAGAAAGTTGACACATCCTGAAGTGACAGACACGTGGAAGTTCCAGAACATGTGAGGGGATTACACAACTAAGCTGGTCATACAAAAAGATTTACAAACTGATGTCACAGAAAGCCAAATAAATAGATGTAGCAGAGAAGTTGATGGTATCCATATGGTTTAAGCCAGTTATCCCTTAAGATTAGAATTTAAATGATGAGAACAAATCTCTCTGCTGAGAACAAAGGTATCACCCCCCTTTCTGGAGCACCAGCACAATACTCAGCCATCCCAAACTGACTCTGTCATGTTCCCTCTGAACACAAGGGTCCTATCCCATCTCTCCTTAACACTTCCCCCTCCTCCTTCTCCTCCCAAATCAGCATGACAAAGCACGCAAGTGCTGGGACACACAGCAACATTTGCATTAGTGTTTTAGCTCTGATGCGCCTGCTTTAGAAGGAAATCTCCTAATTACCCCAATTACTGCCCTCTGTCTCATCAGGAAGTGATACCAGAGATTAATACTATGTGGATTCCTCTCCCATGAAACTGGAGAACAAGACTGCGCAGTGCACCTTAAGGTGGGATGGATGGCCGTAAACTGGGCAGTAGGCCCCCAGGCTGCAGTGAGTCCAGGGTGAGAAGCCCCTGAGATGCCTACAGGGTGGATGCCTTGGCCCCACCACCCACCGGCTCTGCTGCAGAGGGCCTTGGCTCCTCTCAGCTGCGACACAGGCATGGATGGCCACAGAGAGCGGGCGTACAAAGAAGGGTTTCACAGCCATGGTGGGTCCTGGCGATGCTCCACGAAGGAAGGCTGCTCAGCTCCTGTTGGACAAAGTCACCTATTCCAAACTTGCTGTGCACTTTGAGAGGGGCAAAGCAATTTTCACACCTATAAAAGCATGACTTTCAGACAGGCATCTTAACATTTAATCCCAAACACTGATGCCCCCACTATGTGCTGCAGAATTATTCTATTGCATTTAAATGCTCTTTTGGGTGATGTTTTTCCAGCGACAAAACTCTAGGATAAACTAGCATGCATTTTGACCTTTTTGGTTTTTTTTTTTTTTAATTTTCGCCTGCCCACACTTCACCTGAATAACCAAAACACTTGTTATGGATTTCACTTTTATAAACCACACTCCACAACGGCCAAAAATACGACCAGGCACTGTTTATCCATCTAAATATCGAAGCAATTAAACGCACCCACTTCCCGTGATGACCCAAAACACGGGCTGGAAGCCCGGGCGCTGCATCACGACCCAAAATAAAACTTAAGGAGCACTTTAAAACCCAACAGTCGGGGAATAAACGCTTCAGGTGGGCGAGACGCCGAAATCGCCCGTGGGTACGGCGGGGACAACCTCACACCGGGACTTACCGGCCGCAGAAAGCGCTTTTTCCCCCATAAAAATGAATTTTTCCTCAGGGGGCTGGTTATCCCAGTGAAGAGCTCGCTTACGGAGGGCCTGGTTTGGTTATCTTTTTTTTTTTAATCCCAGGGCCTTCTTGAGGAGCTAAAGGCCGGCGGGGTGTCCCTCATGAGGGGTAAAAGAGGGGGGTGAAGGGATGGCGACCTTCCAGCGGGGCTCTACACCGGCAGACATCGCCCCGGGCCCGGGCCCGACGCGGCGCCTCGGCCCCGCCGCCGC